AACAGCGCCATGACTGATTGTTCTCCCTCCATGATGTGTTGCTTGTTATGAAACAACAATTCAGTTAGAGGCGGATATATTTCTTTGTTATGCTTTGCTAAAATGTAACCTTGACCTTTGAAAATCATGTTGTAAGCGGAATGTCGATAAGTTTGAATCAACGTCTGTGTTTGTTGTATTGCAGGTTCCTTCAGTCATTCCTGAGACATGGGAGTCACATGAAAAAATAGATGTGAGGTTGAACTGACTGTAACCTTGAAAAAATATCAAAGCCTTTTTTTAATAATAAAAAACAAACTATGGGCAAAATTTTATTTAAATGGGAGCCTTGATCTTTTCTCCCTTTGAAAGAAGAAACACTGATTTTTTACCACTTTCAAGCAACTGTTTGGCATGTTTTATATATTGGATGTGAAATAGTCTGCAGAGGACATTTGATAACTATAAGCTTTAGCAATTCTGAAATGTATAATTCAACTGCAGACTTACTGGAGTCAAGAAAAATGTGCAAACTGGTAAAGCAAATCTGAAGATTTTTAATCAATTCAGACAATCCTTCCCGCATCTGGACTTCATTTTCAGAGCATTGGGTACTACTGCTGCACGGCCTGATGCATTTGAATAAAGACATCAGGAATTACACTTTCAGATTGGAAAAACAAATTCTGAGAACTATTAAACAATTTAACTAAGTGAAACAATTAATATTAAATACCCATTAAAATGGAAAACTTCTGACCCAGTGTCCCCAGTAACTAGAGGATTGTCAGATAAATCCTCTCTTATATAACTCCAAGAAAAACGTTGAAGTCGTAAGATGAACTCTAAAATAAGCTTTCAGCCAATCAAACAAAAATCTTATTCAGATAGTCCTCTTCAGAGCAAGTTTCCTTGATCTTAATTTATAATAGAATGGTGACTGGCGAACACTGGCTTAGGGCATGTGAGGCACACGCTATTGATTAATTTTTCATTGCCGTCCTTTTAAAGCATCAAGGACATGTGCCACATCAAATCTCCTCAACCCAAAGCACCAAGTTTAATAGCTTGTGTGAAACAAAAACTCTGCCGAAAGAATAAAATGGAAGCGGGAAGGCTGGATTTCTTCATAGTTTCCTTAATATTCATATCTATATATACATTTTGACATTGATGTGATCTGAGTTTTTTATCAGCCTTGTGAGTATAATTGACCCATTCCAAACAAGATAAAGTAAAAACACGAGTACCGGGAAAGGTTATTTGATTAATACATTATATTTTATTTACTGAAAAATGTTGCTTATACAAGCTACAATCAGACCAGATTTGTTGAAGAGGATTATTTATTACCAAAAGTAGAGAGTAAATATTCTCACATAACTCAAAGGTTCAACTGTGAATTAAAACTCTTAAGAGAATCATTTCCTAGTTGCTGATTTTTGACTATTTGAAGTCAACCAGCAAAGAAACTTTTAAGATAGTAGTTTAATATGAAACAGTAAATCTTAGCATGAAAGTCAAACAACATAGTTCTGTTATTAAAAGGAAATTTAAATTGAGTGCATTATATCAAAACATTTCTGATATAATTTATCTTTATATAATGCTGTCTGTCAGAATTATAATGTCTGATACAATTAAATGAAATGTAATAGATATTTAGGCATGTCTGAAAGCTATAAATGTAATGTGCTTTTTTCATCTTTGGCCTTCCAAAGAAAATTAGTCAGACAAAACTCAAGAACATTAGTCCATCATAGGAAGAAAAAAAAGGGAGAGCACTAGAAACTCCAAGTAAAAGGCTTTAGAAAAAGTACATATTTGTCATGATTTTCAGCTTGTTTCTAATCACAGGTCAATTTGTCCATCTTCAGCTATTCACACCGACCCGTTATAATTTCAGCCCAGACTACAGACATATTCTACCAGTCACTATGTTCATCAACACTGCATAAAGGGCTTATTTCCCATACTAATGAAGCTTATTTTTTATAAATCACTGCAGTAACATAAATAAAAAAATCCCCAGCTATAAAAAAAATACTTAATGTGCACACTTCGTCAAAAATGCTAATTTAATAAAGCTAATATAAATGGTTGATATTTTAACCTGATATGAACCTATTCTTTAGTTAAAGCAATTAACTCCTTTGTTGATTCTAACTCATGTATCACACATATTGTCAGCACAAGTAAACCTGCAAATATGGAGAGGATGTTTGAGTTTAATAGAATAGATAAAAGTGATACGTCGGCCGGCCGATACTTTGGGTGATTTTTATTTTTTTTTCCTGTATCGACATCAGCCATGAATTCCATGCGTTTGCCAATTCTTTCATCCATCCAGCAGCCATGCCTTAAGATCAATGGAAGTGCATCTATTGTCTCTCCCTTTGCCATCTATAGTTAAAATATTTTGTTTGATTTGTGTTTAAATGTTTTATTGTTAAGTCATTTCCATCATGTTAATGTAAGTAAGAAAAAAAATGGCTACAAGAATTGACATCTAAAAGAAAAAAAAATATCTGCAGCAGATATAGGTGATCGCTTAGACCGAACTGAAAATAAAAGGTATCAGTGTCAGCCTTATAAAAACCATCTGTATTAAAACATACTTTTCAAACTGCTTATGCTATAGAGCCTTCATTTTCTTATCTTTCTGCCATACATCCAGCCACAGTTTAACATTTACAATACAGATTTTGTGTGCATACACAATCCATACCTGGTTTTTCTGAGGAAATAAGAAAATGCCAGTAAATTCTGCAACACTGCAACCAGCTCTGACCTTTTCTCTCTCAGGTATAAGGCTTTCTGGACTCATTGGTCTAATCTGCACACTGACAACAACATTCAGAGAGCAGTTGTTTACACAACCCTATTTACCATCACACAACCTGACATTTCAGAGCCAACCGGCATCTAAGCAGTCATCTGTCCAGTTGTACAGGTATTGATCATTTCCTGTGGCTTGGAGATTTTCCTCTGCCGTTTCTTCAACAAATGGATCACACGCCCTCTCATCCCAAGTCTCAGCAGCCTTTTGAGCTGCAGAGTCCGTCAATGGACGAGACAAGATGGAAGTCTACTTTCAGAAACTGCGCAGCAGCAGACACTGACGGATGGACCTTGACTTCTGACGTAAATCAGGCCAGTGCTTACAGACTGCTATGCAGCAAAACCACCATAGAGCCGCTGAGATATATAGTATACCAGCAAAAGGCGACGTCGGCCCTTGAGTGCCATTGTCCTGCAGCTTTTGTATGCATTTCTGCTCCAACACATCTGAAACACAGGGCCAAATTACCTCCTTGGCATGCCGGTACGGTTAGCAGAGGCCTGATCATTAACCATTGATTTGTTCCAGGTGTGTTGAAGAAGGGATGCATGTAAAATCTGCAGGACTGTGGCACACCAGGACTGTTGTTGCCCACCCATGCAGCATACAGTGCAACTGATTGATTTAAGTCTGTCTGCAAGCCTGTTACTACCTAGGTATGTTGCTTCGATCTTCTTCACTTTTTGGTTGGAGCTTGAAAGACAACATGAGACTCTTTGCACACTTCCACAATGGCCAGAGTGATGAAAGTCAATTCACAGCGTTCTGTTCCTAGCTCATTCCTTACTAGCAGAAGAGAAAGTGCCAGAGAGATTTCATGGCTGAGACAGAGGACTTACACTCATGTTTTCCCAATGGAGCATCAGAACCAACACTTTCCCTCTGGCACATCTGAGAGCACTCAACACAGCACGCTGACAGCGTGAAAATAGGAATCTGACAGAAATGTAGGGGGGGGACTCGACTAGTTCACGATTGGCTAACCATGCTAAATACCGTTTCCTCCATCCTCTCTTTCAATGGGGCTTTCACAAATGGGAGCTCAAGGCTTTTAGTGTACGGGGTCTATCTATTTGCCCCAGCTGCTGGATTATCACAAAGGTTAAAAAAAAAAAACCCAGGTCAAACACTTTTGGGAGCTTTTCAAATGAAACTAAATTATTGATAACCAAGCCCTGCTGTATCCTTTGAAAAGGTCTGCGGAGATTCTGGAAAAAAAAGCTCTTCACATCTTAGATGAGCGGTCATGATCGAAAATGAGGCAATATTGTCCTTTTTCCATTTACCGAACAAAGTGTAGCTATTACTGCAGATTGAAACCTACTCGGTAGCCATCCGCACAGGCCAAGCTGATAAACCTATTGCTCACAGCAAGTACAAAAAAATTGTTTAACAAAGATTGAAAAGGGTAATCAATAAAAAAAAAAAATGCCTCAAAGAGAGCCAGGTCATAGAGCACCGTTTAACCTCGCTGGTGCTTCTAGCCCTTACAGTCTGCTTAACCGTCATGAAGCCCTCGAAAGGCAATCAAAGAGCTCTTTAAGCGGCAACACTTAAAGTGGTAATTCCACACTTCAAAAGACGTTACCCAATGAGACTTTTTATGGATTCTGTTTTTGACTGAAATTATTCTTTCAAACTTAAAGACTCTCGAAGAGGAACCATGACACTGTGATCCAACAGCCACCTTCAAAGGACCTACTGCTTTAATGCTTGGTGGAAGAAAAACGTAGCATCCTTACTGTGGTTTGGTCCATGAGTGCATTTTAGCTTTTTCATGCAAGAAGTCTTCAGTGTGCACCAAGTTGTGTATTATTCAGAATTAATCATTATCGTTAAGAATAAGACATTGTTAAAAACAGTCCATGGATTTCCATCACTCAAAACCCAATAGTTCTTTTATAACACTGTGAAAGAAAACCTGCAGAAAGAAAACATCTACCAAAATCGTCAGACTGTACAAATGTCTTTTACTTTTATTTATAAAAATCTAACACAAATCTAAGGAATAACAATGACCTTATGCGCACAGCTTGGAATGCGCTCCTAACCAGCTGTCTGAAACACAATGCCTTGAAGTGTGTGCATATCTGTGTGTGGATGCGTGGGTTCGGAGAAATGAAGACACATACAAAGTCGTAACAAGATTTCAAAGCCAAATAAATAATAGGCTACTTACCGCCACTTTGCTCCCAGTTATCTGCATGCAGCGATCGGCGGAGAAGGTTAATGTGCAAAAAGACACAAACGGCACACTCGTTAGTAAGCCAGGAAATTATCCATAACAGGCTGAGGCATTAGGGTATCTTTTGTGACAACACAGAAATCCTTCACACATTTATGGGACACTTTACATGACTATTCCATCAACGCAAACAAGATAACTTAAATTTGTTGCTGCACACTCAAGATTATGTCTGTGTCTGGCAGATGCTAGTCCTCTACTTTTAGATTTTAAATAAAGCAGATTTAGCTGGTTGATGCAAATTTCACCAAGTGTCACCCAAATATGAGGGCTTCCTACTGAGGATAAAAGTCTAAAGAAAGTCCCTTTGGTTAAAAATCAATGTTCTGCCAGTAACACCGGTCTTCAGACGTCACATTTGGTGGCAGAACTACCTTGAACCCATGCAGTCAGCACAATTTCCAGGGTTTAACCTTGTTATCTGTCAATAGTGGCAGGTAGCAGGAGCGATTTTCATTACTGCAACTGTGGGACTTGTTTCACAGTGGGAAGGTGTCTGTTAGCAGAGTAAATGTATTCTAATCTGAGCCTGAGCTCTTTATGCTATCCAACATGCTTCTAGGGAATTGCATTCTGATTGCACAAAGTTATAGGGCGTATTGAGCCCTTTTCCCCTCCTTTCTGCACAGATTTTATAGGAGGTAAGGAAAAAAAATCTCACTTTCATTTTCTTTTAACGTTACTCTCAAACTGTCGGGGTTTGCATCCATTTATTGCTGGTGCTACCTTTTCCTTCACCCTACTAAAAGTTTAGAAGAGCCACAGAGGCAGTTTAACAAGGTGTACCTCAGCTTCCCTACATTTTAGACATACTGCATGATTATAAAATGGTCAACAATATGGGACTCTGTGTGCAACATGTTCACTACAACCTTTACAAAATTTACAGACATAATCTTCAGTGTGCTTGGACAAAAGTTGGAAGGAGCTTGGAGGTGAAAAACACAGGTTAAAAAAAATGCATTTTAAATGAAAATCAACTAAAGTGTAGTTTATTTAAAAAAAAAATGAGTCATTGGGTACAGAGGACATGAAAAAGGTCTGCACACCTACAATACCTGTTTAGTTTTAAAAATAAAAAAAACTTTTGAAAAATTTTTCCACCTTTAATCATAGCTAGACCCAAAACAATGCTGATCCCAAACAAACTGAAACAGTTATTGCAAAAATGTGCACATACTTCAATATTTTCTTGAAGCATTTTCTATGAGGTCAAAACTTGACTTAAGCTTTTGTTAAACATTTCATAAGATTTTTAGAAGAAGCCTTAAGATTTTGTGTTAACATTATGTGTTGATTGGGCCCCATTTTCACCTAAAGACCACCATATATAACTATACTGTAACTATTTTTATTATCTTTTTTTTTTCCTCTGTTGTGAAGTTTTAGCACCAAACATAATGCTTAAACAGTTCGACCTCCTATTCGTGAAATGTCAGTTTCAAGGTATAGTGGAGGATTTTCGTGAATTTTTGAAAAGACCTGCCCATTTCTCCTCGTCCATGCTCTTTTTAAAAGTTGCTGTTTGCATTGCACATACAAGCTTACTATTCAAAACAAAATTTCCAATTTTTCTACTGTCAGACTCACCATCGGTAAGTAAAAATAGGGACGAGCACATAGGATGACCTAATGTAAACATATCATCACCAGAATGATTGATAATTAGGAGGACCACTTATTTTGATAACCCATCCCGGGAAAAGAACATCCTCCACTATACCTTTAATGTTTTCCTGTGAGACTACAGACAGATTAAGCATATCTAAGTTTTCTGTGACCAGCAGGTACTTGCCAGACACTCCTTTAATGTTGCTCTAAGCCTAATGGCAACAATAAATTAGTTTTATTATCATTGTTTAATCAAACCATGAGTCTTCAGTGATACCAAAAAACAAATTCTGACCATGAGATCCATCTGATGCCTTGGAAGCATCCAATAGATCATGGCTTATGTTGTGAAAAGCACTATTGGGGGTTAATTAAAGGAACTTCAGATTACGGCTGGTGTTTACAGATTCCTTTTAAAGTGTAATTAAAAGTGGTGGATTTTTTTCTGAGGACAGATACACACTCAATTATAAGGGAGGGCACACACTTCCAATACCATCCTGTATTTTTTTCTTCTTCTGGTTTCTCCAAAAAATATTTCAGTTATTTCAGTTCCATGTTTTATGGGTCATCTGAAAAGGTGAAAAAAGGCCTAAAATTAAAACAAAACTGGTATTGTAACAAGGTATGCAGGCTTTTTTTTTTTTGTGCCTAATGACCTACAAGATTTCCTCTTGAAACATCTTTATAATGATTGCTGACTGTATGAATGGTGCAAATTAATAATCATCAGTGGTGTGGATTTTCTCTCAAGTAGTTTGGGGCATACAGAGCGGAAGGTTGAAAATTGATGGTCATATCAAAAAAAGGGAGAAAAACGCAATAATGAGCAAACCCCCCCTTACAAGATATTACATCACATCTTTCCAAAGTGAAACAAAGCACGTTCATAATTTAACACACAGCTCTATGCATTAATGGCATTAGTAAAATTAGAAAATGTTGCATTTTCATTCAATTTGGATGTAGAACATGGTGAAAATGGGAAAGCAGTTTATGCAAAGGTAATGGGAAAAGACGGGTAAACACTTGGGCTATATATTGGGATTGGATTGTGTGTTTAACAGAGTTCAGTCTTAGCATGTATCTTTCTAAGATAAAAACTCCCTCTATTTGTGTTGGGTGTAATTTGTCAGACTCCTGTTAACCCATATGAGTTTGTTCTCAGTGCAACATAGCTTTGGACTGAGACATAGAGAGAGATGACCAAACAAGAAGATGGTAAAACAGAGTTTTAAATTTCTTCTAAAATATGATTCAGCAAAAACACAAATTGTAAAAATTATTAAAAGGGAATGAAGTTTTAAAGCACATGTGATGCATCAGCATGCATAGATAAAGAATAGAGTTACACCAGCTACCCTGAACCTTATGACCACCAGTCAGACATAAAGTCGGCTTTCTTTTAGCCCCAAGTACAAAAATTAAACCCAGAAGGCATTGAGCAGTAGATTGTTTGGCACCAATCAACGAGTGTTAATCTTGCAAATGAAGCATACTGGAATCTTAGTTGAGATTTGGAGAATTTGGAGACCAAATCAAAACTTCAACCTTGCTTTTTTACTGCTGAAATATTTGTTTTAACTATCTATGGTGTAGAAGGTCACATTATTCATGTTTCTTAAAGCTCAATTTTAGATCAGCAAAACTGTTCAGGGAAATCGTTTTAAATACCTAAAATCAACAGAAGTAACCAAGGTGTTCCAACAAAACATTAATCAGAGCATCTCACTGCCACTGCAGCCTGGTTCTCTGTACATAGTGCTTTCTGCAATTTTTAAAGCAGAGTTGACTTTACTTTACTTTTGATACACAAATAGGACTCTGGATTCCCGCTTCCACTGCTTTGTGAACCCATCTTAAGCTACTGTAATTACCGTATTCTGCTTTATTGTTCTGGTGGATTTAAGTTGGGAAGGACATCCCATATAGCCTTAGCAGGACAGTATTAATCAATAAATACATTAAATTCTTCAACAACTTCAAATGCAATAGGGCTGTCTTTGAGCCTTTGTTTATTTCATTAGTGGATCTTCAAGGAGTCATTACCTTAATTTCTACAGATCATTATAAATCAGTCATACTGCCTGTTTAGTGAGAAAGTGCTTAAATTGTAACATTTACCCTTTTTCCTTCATGAAATACAGCTCCAACTACCCAGTGTTGATGGAAAACCTTCTTTCAGTGGTCATAATGTTTGGGCTGATAAGTGTATGCTAAAGCTGTAGCTTGTGATTGCAAACTAATGAATCCCAACTCAAAGTAGCAAAAAGATTTTTTCTTTTGATCAGCAAAACATGTCAAGAGGAAACATCTGTTCAGTACTGTGGTGCATGTGCTGCTTTCCCAATAATTTTTTTATATTTTGCGTACTTGGTGGACTTATGAACGCTATGGAACATGCATGACACAACTTTGTATTAGTATAGGTCTTGGAGACGTTGGCTGTAATAAATATTATTGCAAATTTACTTAACGATATTACTTTTTAATAATAAACATAGTATATGACAGCAAAAATGCTATTATATACTATAACATCACAAATAGAGGAAATGATGAAGAGTGGAAACACCGAAGCCAAACAGTGAAAGCCCCGCAGAAAGAAAGATAAAACCACAGATTTTCTCAAACCGTTTGAGCTGACAAAGCATGTCCATAACAGACAAACCAGCCTACTGCTGAGGTATAACCCATTTAAGGATGAAACAACTAAACATATCAATAGAGATAAATCAATTTTTGAAACTTTAAATTTTTTTTAAAAATCCAACTGCAGTATAATGACCAAGTCATACTTTTTGCTCATCAAACAACCCATTCAGGTCATTTATTCATCTGAAACTGTGCTGAAAATATTTACATTTTGCATTTAGAATTAAAATCATTCTTTGGTTTAAATACTGTATATTCTATCCAAAAGTTTTAAAGTGGCCACTGAGAATTTTGGTTTTTTTTTTTATTACCAATTTTAACCTTGCAATGCATTTAAAATGTTCAATAAATGTTTTCCTTGTTAAAGTCAAACAATGATTTATTGAGGAATCTTAATTTACTAAGAGCATCTGTTTTTAGATCAAGAAAATCTCAAGAATAACTGATAATAAAAGAAGTAATAGCTGCTAGCCTAAATGCTATAATTCCTTTATTGAAGGGATACAGAGGAATTAAAGGGTCCTACAACCATAAAATACGCTATGGTTGGTATATTTGAGCTTTCAGAATGTTTTTCCAAACATTAATGAGGTTGTTGATGTAGTCATTTTGAAGGAAAGACATGATAGATCAAAAAGGCTTAAAATTAGATCAAATGTGTGTATTTGCTCACAGTTTATTGCAAGCTTAAAATTTTAACTTCAACTCTTTTGCATAAACACAAATAGCAATATCTTGTTGGCTACAGTATGTTACTATTGCAGTTAATTGTTACATTTGGTGCAGAAATTCTGCATATAAAAACCTTTATTCCTCAAAACCATTAAATACTATCTAAACAATCAAATTGATATACCCAGCATTATGTGACATTAGTATGTCACACAGTGTTTGGGTCTACAGCTGTCCTGTATTGTAACTGCACATTTGCATGAGCAGCCATTTCAACCCTGGCAATGAGCCCCCCCCCATCAGCCCTATTAAATGTGAGAGCAGGGTGCAGACAGACATCACATTTTGTCCTCTGTCCTTTCACTACACAGATTATGTTATTCATTTGAATAAAATATCTCTGCTCACAAAGCATAATGGGCCCTGTGAGGAATTCAATCATCTCGGATAATCATCATTATCAATAATGCCAGTTAATTACCATAACAATGAGCAAGGTAATAAATGATGATGTCAAGGCAGAGCTACCAGGTTCAGGAAACAATGAAGAAAGAAATGACTTCTTCTCTTTAGAAGTGCTATGAATATCACCTCGCTAAAGTTCTCCAAAATTTCTAAGAAAGATGTCATTTCATTATAGAGCAGCGGATTACAGCCAAAATTTGAATTGTCTGCACTGATTTAATTTTGCCCCATCTCAAAAATTGATAAGATGCCAAATATAAAAGGTGAAAAAAATATGCTGCTACTTATATATAGTAATAAGGAACTGCTGGTAAACACCTATGCCACATGTTTAAAGTTTTCTAACGTCTTACTGCCACACCAACTTATACTAGCAATGATGTGTAAACTGTCAATGAGTAAACTGAGGACTCAGTTATTCCACTAAGAGTTTAACTGCACTGCTTTGATGTGGCTTTTAGTATCAACTTAAGTAAACTATCCTTTAGTTCAATTGCCTTACTAAGCTGCTTCTGAGATTAAACTTCTTTTCAATTTGGATTTCCTGATTTTTTTAAAAACAACAACAACAAAAAAAAACTTTTTTCTAGCCTTTACTTTGCACTAAAAAGCATCACTTTTGGTCAAAGTTGCAATGGATAGTAGCAGATAAAAGGTCAGGTTGAAAGCTAATTATCAAATAAAATGAGACAATTTTCTCTGTGGACATTTGTTCAATAATATATTTCAATAATTTTGTTTGCAGTAATGCATGCTTAAAGCATCTTCAAAATGGTCTGTGTAGGATTCTGGACCTGAACTTTTTTCAGCTTCTCATCCATCACTAAGCGTTTCAGAGAAGAATGACACCTACATGTCTATTCGCTGTCAAACTGCTGGAATGCAGTGTGCGCATCAAAGGGGTTTACGTTATCAGTTTGCTGCCAGCAGAAGGAGTTTCATCATCGACTTTTAGCGACATCATTTAGGGGTTTTAGGAAGCCAAAGGACAGTAGCGTCCATTTCTGTTCTTGTCAGATACAACCGAGTAGTGGTTGAGTAACAGGAATCCTACACACCCGACAAAGTCTGTCTTCTTGTCTTGTGGGGCTAAGAATGCACTAAATGTTTTTGTTGGCTAACAGGTTTCCCTTTTATGCAGAGACATATTATTCAACAGTTACCCTAAAGCTTCTAAAATAATACACCTTTTTCGTAATATCCCGTAAACTCTAACACAATTTCAAAAACAAAAGCTAATACGTATGTTATCTGTACTCTTTAGAGGTCATTGCATAAAAAATATCTCATTCTAGGCTTATTTCTATTTTAAATAATACTTCAGCCGGTTGAAGGGTAGACACTTCCACTATTGGAAGTGTCTCACTAAAGGAGTCCGTCACCAGAGAAAACACAGACCACCCACCAAGCCCCATGAGAATAAGTGGCTCCAAATAACAGGTGCATCTCAAATAACTAACATCATCAGAAATGGATAAAAAAATATGCACTGGCTTCACACAAAGTAGTATATTAAAACTTTTTTTTTAATTAAAAATTCAGATTTACAATGCAATTGCATAGCTTCATACAGATATCAAGACTAGGCCTCCTTTTACATGAATTACTGCATGCAGATGAAGGCAGCCAGTTTGTGGCTTTGCTGTGTTTTTAAAGATGCCCAGGTTGCTTTACTGACAGCCTCCTACCTCTCTACATTATTGCAATATTTCATCATACTCTTTATAGCAGTTCCTTGATTCTCTGTGAAGTTTGGAGAGTTTTCATCCCAAACAAACATTAATACCAGGGTCACTAAAACCTGGTGCTGGCACCTCTGCCAATGTTCGATTTTCTAGTCCTGCTAAAAAAAAATGCATTTTCTCAAAGCTTGTAAGTGTGTGACTGCGTTTTATAAACTGAAGTTATCCCTGAGGATTCTGCAACTTTTTCCTTCCACACAGCTTTCCATTGTTATACTTGGACAAACCACTGTTAGAACACAGCTTTTTGATAATTAACCTTTAATAAGCTAAACTAAATGTTAATTTGATTCTGTTGTCAGTAATTTAAAAGTCTTTGTTGGTCATAACATAAAACAAATCTATTAATATTAGTAATTCTTTAGTTTTCTTAGGAACTAGGTCTGGGGATTTCATTAGCTACAACACTTGTTCAACTGAAATAAACAATTTCAATATATCACACTGTGTGAAATGAAGCCAAAGGACTTTCACTCAACTGAGTGCTTAAGTTTCTAATAAAACTTTAATATTTTGAGAGGTTCCTGTAGATTGCAGGAGAAAACCAGGAAAATCAGAAGCAAGTCGATCAAAACTGCAAACCAAAGAAGTGGGGTGCAAGCATGAAGAGTGAGAGAAGGCGGTGGAGTGAGTGTGCTTTAAGGGATGACAAAGCAGGCAGGAAGCAGAGCATCAGATTATTTGAGCTACTATTTTCCAATCCATCTGTTATAAAGAAGGCATTTAGAATTACCAGTTCACTTACAGATTTTGAAGTGGCTGAGATGTACTGGACCACCATCTCACGCTTGGTGGCCAAGTCCTTTCCACGTAAAGGGGCTTTCCGTTCCTCATTGAGGTTCATGTCCTCCTAAAAACAGAAAACAGAACAGGAACAATGAAACTGACTGCCTGTTTCAAGGTAGCCTTTAATGAGCAAAATTACCAACAAAAATGCATCTCCACATTGTTGTGTTTGTTAAGACACATTTTTTTTTATTTCACATCATCCAATTGGCACAGCAAAGCAGAAAAGGCTTTTAAATGACGTGCAACTGAAGTTGATCCCCAATAAACAAACACAAAACCTCAAAATATATTCACATTTTTGCATTTCAAAACCTTCAACTTTAAACCAGATCATTTCAATAAAACAGATTCTTCAAAAATACGCAGCATTTCGGGCCCAGAAACAATTATTTTTCAATTTCCACCATTACCCTTTTATATCAGATCCTGTCCTTTGCTTAAATTAATTCCCAACCACGTTTCTTTGTTAAAGTCACAGGCTGTAGCAGTGGAGTATAATGGCAGGAATAATTAGTCCTTGAAATAAAAGTAGCAAAGGCAGCAGCAATAGAAGAATATAAAGAAAAAAATGGCACACTGCACCGCAACTCTGAATCTGAACAGCAGAACAAAATCAAACAACACTGTTTCTATTGAGGCCATGCAATCACAGCTGATAGGCTGGATAGGCAGTATCTGCGTGTTATTGGGAGTATTATCTTCATGCTACTTTAATTCGGCATCACAAAGAGTTCTTTCATGTGAGAGACATCAGGGGATAGAGTGAAGGCCGGACAGAGCACTAAAAGCTAGGGAATGACATGATGATTAGAATGAAGGAGGATGTTTATCAGAAGCACTCTCTCACAAAGAGATGGCTCGAATGAACAGAGGAGAAAAACATCCTCCGTTGAGGTAACAAGGTGGAGGTCTGCTGCCCTCTAGTGGAAAGAAAGGAATACATTTAACTCTTGAAGTCTCGATGTCCTATCGTTTTCTCTTCACCTGATTTACTTTCTAATTCAACTTATAAATTCAGTGCATCACCATATTAGATCACTGGATTACTCCTAGGTTGAATTATCATACCATAGGTAATCAGAATGAAGTTGTTCAGCCTTGTTTGTCCGTGAGGCATGGGCAGGAATCCCAACCAGGAGCACTGTGACCTAAATTCCTTTAACTACATTTCCTCCAGTAAATACCCTCTGAGCTAAAAAGAAAACCATTAACATCTCTTGTGGAAATGGAAGGGTGGTTTGGGGCTTGGATGCAGCCGAAACTTTTTCATCACCCAGGGAAAGCAGCAGGTTTTTTAATTAATCTTTGAACCCTGCTAATTTATCTGCTTAATTGGCATTCAATAAAGGAGGCAGAATGTGGTGGGGTGAGTACGTTGCAGGCGCGCAGGGGGGGGGCGGGTTGCATGAGTAGTGAGCCTGCGGGACGTTTGTCAAGGGGCAAACTGGAGGAATGAGCCCTCCAATGTTCAGCCTGCAAAATGATTAATGCTCTTTTATTAATTATACCCTCACAGGCAACATAAAAAGAGCTTCGGTATATCATGACTATTCTGCTGGTGTAACAGAAATGCTGTGATTTGAGCTTCTAGCTATGCCAGTAGACCAGACATATGCTAGAGCCTGCCATCTTACACTAGTCTGACTAACTCTGGTAGGGATTTATTAATACTAATCAGGGTGCAATTGCTGCGTTCATACCAAAAATAATTATCCTGAAGTATTTGGGAAATCATCCTTTGATCAGTGCTATGAGAAAGTCTTTACCCCTTTTAAAGGGTTCTCTTGTTTTTACCTTTTTGTTATGACTAACTATGTTTCAGAGTCAAAAAACAAAAGGTACATTTTAGACAAAAACAAATTAAGGGGGGGAACTGGCAGTTTTTAATTTAAGGTTCTCAAATCATGGATTATTTTTTTATACCCACATTGTTTTGGTTACATCTCAGTAGGTAGGTCTGATCACCTCAAGAGGTAAAACAGACCTTTATAGAACCTAAGCTGACAACAGGAGGTAAGAAATGCACTAAATTTTGATGTAAAGAAATTAAAATGAAGGAAAGTCACAGACATCTGTCGTTCTTCATATTCCTTTTAGAGCCTTTGGATTTTTGTGAGCCACAATGAGAAACATTAACCGAAAAAGAAGAGAAAATTGGACAGAGACAAGATGTCACAGAAGTGTAAAAAAAAAAAAAAAAAAAAGTCTCATTTGGCTCAGCTAAGGCAGCGCCCATGATTCTTAGCGATGAAGCAAAACGACATAAATGGGAGAGTACCAGGAGGAAAACCACTACTGACCAAATATGGGAGAATGGCATGCTTTTCATTATATCTAATGCAAATCTGCCAGCATACCATACCTGTATAAAAACATGGTGGTGGTGCAATAGCCTGAGGTTGATTTGCTGGTTCTGGGGCTGCAATAACCGATGCAACATTATTTCTACTCTATACCATTCTACTCTGCCATTATTTTGTGAAAGAGCTGCAGCCCAATGCAGCAAGGCAATGATCCACAGAAAAGCATCATGTCCACCTCTGAATGGAAAAAATAAAAACTGGCAGTCAGTTTCAAGTGGCCTACTCAAAGTGGCGGTTCATCCTCAAAAAGCCTCCAATTAGGATAAAGTAGAGGACAAATCTTCAAAGAGTAAAGGGTCAATATTCCTCTACATGGAGGTAAATGAGTCTTGGTCAGTTATTAGCTTTAAGGGCCAGTTTGGAGGCTTTGATAGATTTTATCCTTTCGCAAAACAATAATTGGAAATTTCTTTAGCTTTTACTCACAATATTTTTGGTTTTAAAAAAGTCCACAAGTTGAAATGGTGTTGGTCTTTGACTGGGTTCAATGCCATAGTGTCAGGAGAGGCATGTGGCATAAAAACTTTGCCCAGTCTGTCAGAAAGTGGTGATGACCTCTGAATATGGGAGCAGCTAAAAAAAATAACACCACAGGTTTGCGAAAATGAAGGGAACTTTTAGACAGCACCGCCTGAGGTAAGTTCTCAAAATAAGGTATTGGTGAGTAGCTAAAGAAATGTTTAATGCAACCCAAGTAGGCAGGTGTTTCCTATCACTAAACCATTTTTCCCAACGAAGCAATAAGTTAAGACGGCTGCACTCTAGGCATGGCAGCTCCTCATTGGGGACGACGCCAAGCAGCTGTCTGATTATGTGGATCAGAGGTTTCAGGCAGTCAAGAACCATAGAAGAGTAAAAATACGTTCCAACATATTTTTCATGTACGTGTACAATTTGTTCCATATTATGCATAATGCATTTAATATATTGCACATATGAAAATAAGCCCAATAGTTTTATTGAGAGTTTTATTCTGTTTTATTCATCTCTGACTACCCTACATCAAATCAGGGATCATGACTCTCGACTGCATCTTTAGTTACAAATATAAGACTTTTGATTTGACTTGTATTCATGCACTGTTAACTTGAGGTCTGGGCTTTGCGTGTGTGTCATGTACAATCTATTTTATGTAAACTGAAAGTGGATATAAGTGTAGATCAGTTAGATTATCTTGTTTTATCAATATCTGGTTGTTATGGAAAGATTACATAGTAGATCTGCCAGTAAAGGGAGAAAATGGCAGAAACTGGTCAAATGTGGGTTTTTATTTCCATTTAAAGCACTTACAGAAACAAAGACAAAGCCTGCAGTTCTTACAGATGTGGTTTAAGTTGCACTTTAACAAGAGATGTGGGTGGACAAAAGGAGATACAATTTCAGTCATGTTTATACAGTGATGAATGCCTTTACTGTAATAAAAAAAATCTAATTTCTATATATAAAGTGAACTAATCAGAAGTAAAAACTTTATTATGCTTTTGCAATATCAAATTACAAATTAAGTCTATCAATGACGTTTGATTGTTCAGGACAAGAAGCAAACAAAGAAAAAAAGCGTATTCTACATCTCATTCTAATTTTTAGGCTGTTGCAATAAAGCCATGACTTTTATCTTCAGAGTGAAATCAAAGATTTAACATTAAAAGGTGTTAACCATATTTTTGGATATAAATGTATACCAAAGTTATTGTATTTGATAGATATTGTGCATTTAATTTGTGATCATTTTACATTTTAGGTCTTAGTCTGAAATGAATATCTCTGCATAAAGTTTGTAAATAAAATCAAATAGGTTTGGCAAAATGCTTTGGCTCGATACTGGTTAGGGTTTTAAACTAGTGTGAAGAAAAATAAACAGACACTGTCAAATCATCCAAGGCTTTAAAACTATACGAAGAGTCTCCCCTGAAGAAATATGTGGTTCTTAAAAAAGTAAGTAGTAAAAAAAATAAAATAAAATTCCTTTGCCTCCACTGTGACAAATCAATTATTTTTTTCCACTACCCCCAAGTTTGATCCATGAGAGCATGAGGGCACATGCCGTAATTCTCCTGTGGGCTGGTTTTAATGTCCTGGTGCAGAGTGGAAGTGCTGAGGGATCACAGAAGAGCTTATTACCCAGAGTATTCATTCTAACAACGGCAAACATAAAACCTGAAACAAGGCACTGTAGCAATGCACCCTTACACTGTTAATTCAGTGGCTCTGTGTTGCTGTGTGCACCCCAAAAGGTTATTAAAATCTTTGGAAAAGGCTTAACAGGAAATTAACTTTATTAGAAAATACTTTGTTTTCTCACACATAACAAATGTAAATGTTGTTTCGCCTCATCATTAATAAACAGAATAAGAGAGGAGAGTATGTTGAAGCCCATGTGAAGGTGGATAATTGAAACTTAACATAGAGCTGGGGCTTTTACTTATTATTTATATCATCAACAATCCAGTTAAATCTGAGATCTGAGTCCATCTGAAATGGGCGGTAAGGCTTTAACTCTGATTAAAATAAGTCCTCTATCAAATCTGACTAAGCTTCAGTAAAGCTGCACAGGGACAAAGGCCCAAATGTCAGTGCATAGATGTACACTGATTAAAACCTTCTACAAAAGATCTGTACTTGGAATTGAGGTAAAAGCTGCTGAAACCTGATGACTTATCAGATATGAATGCAAAGGAAAAACACACCTTTCAGAGGT